ATTCATCAGTGTAAATTACAAATGCATAGCTTCATTCATTCCTCAAAAACATGTTGCTAAATACGGATTAAATTTGTACATAGAGAATGAAATTTAAATTTTTCGGATTTGTTTAGATTTAACTGTAAATCAAAACCATGAGGGTTTCTTATTTGTTTTAATATCTGCTTAATTTAAAATTAATCTGTTTACACTGAGCTTGTTGATGTCTGCAAGCTGTCACACACTATGAAACCTCGGGCGATCTGACGTTATCACAGCCAAGCACATGTTTGCCCATCCACGAAAAAAATTAACCAATTAGCGGCAGAGTTAATATTTACACGAAGAATGTGTTGTGTTTAGAAAAAAATGTCCAACCCGAAAATGCACGTAAAAAAAAAAAAACAGCATGAAACACACAATCCGGTTTGATTTTATTCACATTTTAATCATAATACAATATAAAAGACATTAAATAACTTGCTTTCATTAAAAATAAAGTTCACGGCGATTCTGCCGCGTCTATCACCACTGGTACTACAAGTACCAGCGTAGGCCGGGGTTGGCTTGGGCTAGGCCTAAAATCTTCACGTCTGTGATTTTTTGGTCGGCGTTGGGCAGATACGCATAGGACAACAGTATTGTGTATAGTGAATGTTGTGTGGCGATAGCATTTCAAAGTTTGGTTCCCTAGTCATGGGCTTACTTATTATTTTGTGCTTACGGAAGTCCTCCTTGGTTCAAGAGAAAATTGTTTCAATATTGGAACAAATATGAAATTAGTGAAGGTGCAGGGATATTGTATCAGCTTTTCCAAGACGTAAAAAAAGCATATTAATAATACTATTATTTGCTTTATTTAGATTATGCTCCAATTAGAAGAAATTGTCTTACAAGTTGTACGAGTAATTCTGCAGCAACAAGTAATTGGTAGGTTATACTATTTTATTTATCTGTATCTACAAACATTTTATCCAATTTTTTAATGGTGAAATGCAGTCACAACTTCTGGTATATCCTAACACTCAGTATATGTGGTTAAACAATGTGACTTAGTGGTTTAGGTATGTTGCTTAGGTAATATGTGTTTGTGGTTAACTTATTGACTAAAAAGTGGTTAAAATGTGTGACTTAATGGTTAAGATGTATTACCTAGTGATTAAGGTATTTGGCTTAGTTGATTTGGTATTTTACTTAATAATTTAAGTATGTCATTTTAAATGTAATGTGTGATATAATGGTTAACATGTGCTACATAATGTGTAACTTAGTTAATGAAGAGTGTGCAACTTATTGTTAAGGTGTTTGACCTAATTTTTTAAATTGTGTGACCTATTTGTGGTTAACAAAACCTGTTATCCATTAACTGTTTCCTGGGTTAATTTCTGACACTATGTACCTACTGACTGAAAATATTTCTACTCAAAAGAGAGAATTTTTTATCATAATTATTGTAGTAGATTATACTATATAGTTTTTTATTTATTTATATTTTTTAATTACTGTTGCTGTTTTTTTCCCTTAGTTTTTGTGTCTATGCCCCCTCACCACACATGTCCTGCTTACCGAATCCCATGTGGATACCTTATTAGTAAACATATAGTAAGGCAGTATAGGGCATTGGCACACCCTCCCGTTGGGAGTCTATCTTTATTATAATCTTATAATTGCTAATAAAATTACTCATTGGGTATATTTCATTTATAGATTTTTATGAGGAAGTTTTATCACTGATCTTTAGTATGACATGCACACATATATCACCCGCTCTATGGCAAGTGTTTCCAATGGTCCATGAAATGTTCAACGATGATGGTTTTGACTACTTCTTAGGTAAGTAACACCTTGACTTATAATACAGTGTCATTATAATTATGTTAATATTAATAAAGCACTCGTACCGCCATGTCATTGAGAGGCTGTTTGGCACAGTGGGAATGAATTGATTTTTTTGTCATGATGTAGGCCTATATTATTAACTGTTGTATCTTCAAATTGAATTTATTGTGTTTTTTAGAGGGCCACTTTAAGTCGGCTGTTAGGGTCACCCTCGTTAAATAAAGTTGAATGAAAATAAAATAAAAGTGGTTTGGTTTCCCAACCTTGAGGTCAGGGTTTAAATTCTTCTCTGTGCATTTCGTTGTGTGCTTGTATCTACATTACTTTAGTCTACCCAGCTGTATCAATGGGACCATCAGATTACTGGGAGTGCAGTGGACCAGCATTCCACCAAGGGGAAGCATCTTGCTCTTATCCACTTTACACTACAAAAGTGTAAATCAGGAGATAAGCTCCGGCCCATATGTGCCCCCGTGGCACAGCAAGGATTGAATTTACCCCCATGCCCTTGGGCACTCATTGCCTTATTATAATTTGAACTACAGATACATTCAATGCTTTTAGACTGAGGATGAAGTAACAATGCACAGAGTAAGTGCATTGACTCTCTAGTTAGTGTTGCAGTAAATTTTGAGATTTATTAATAAATCTCATTGAGGCAGATTACAACCTACATTAAATGTTTTTGTGTGAACCAATCAAAAATATTTTTTTTGTTCTATGTTTCCCCCCAGAAATAATGCCTGCTCTGCACAATTATATCACAGTTGATCCACAGACCTTCCTCTCCAACACTGTGTACATAGAAAGTATCTTCAACATTTGTAAAAAGGTAATGTATTTCAATATTACTTTATAGATCATTATAATAATAATATAATATAATGATCTATACCTACTATGCACTCATGGTACTGTTTTTCTGGGTCGAATACAATGTATACAATAATATAATATAGATAAGAAAAAATACAGCCAGGTCACCAGGGACGATCGTAATTAATTATGCAATTAATTAACAAAAATTATTTAAAAATCGTATGCGCGGTTTAGTGTGCATGTAAGTTCAAAAAATATGTGAGTAAATATCAAAAAACGTTTTTAGAAAATATTTCTTCCATTCATAATTAATTTCTGAGTTTAGGGTAATTAGCAATTTGTAATTTGATCGTTGTTTTTGTAACATGATCGCCTTGATCGAGACGTCGGCGTCAATACTGGTGGTGAATAAATCACCTAAAAACACTTTATTTTCAGAAAATAACTATTCTGACACATTTATACTATAAATATATCTTCAAAATACATACTGTACCAGATTTGGTTATTATATCGACATATTTCCGCGTAAAATTGATTTTTGTGGCTGAAAGCAAAGCATGTGCTATCAATTACGCTTGACGCCATCTTGTGTGTTTACAAAAATGAAAACGAACCCTGAACATGACCGTTGAACTTTTCAACTTTCTGTTTTTCGGTGACCTGCGCCCTCTACACGTTGAAACAGATGAGCACGACCTTGGACGGCTAGGCAGAAAATTATGAATTATGGATTTTACATTGCGAGGTAGGTTTGGCTATTTACGGTACGGTGCGTAGTGGGGAATGTGTGACTGAACGCGGCGAGGCGCCTTCGATGTAAACTTTTATATTATTTTTATGTCCCAAAGTTCTTCGTCAATAAATTCAAATTTAGATTTATTTTGTAAAGGAATAATTTGTGCTGATGTGGAGGTGTGTTTGTATTCTGACTACTGACTCAGGATTCAATAATTTAGTTTTTAAATTATTCATCAAAAAATATTTATAAAATAAAACAATAATTAGAAATGATTTATTTTTTAAAATTTTTTTTCATAATTTCACAATACTAAATAATAAGTTATTTAGAAGCATTTTTTAATTATCTTTCAATTGGTATCAATCATTATTGTATTATTCCTACAGAAAAAAATATATTTAACCATATTTCTGACACTGAAAAAAAAATTCAAAATCATTTCAAAAAATCTAGGTAGGGGTCAATGGGTTAACACATAAACAGATACTACCAAAATTTTACATAAACTTTTGCTACTGAACAGATGTTTGAATAGTACTATTTATATAGCATTTGCATACACACCACATAATTTCTGCCAGTACCAGCAAATGTATGGAATATTGTACTCAAACATCTTTAAATCATACTGAAATATGGTTATTTGAAATAGGCAATCAGGCACGGATCCAGCAGGGGAACGGGGAGAATTTATTTGTATTGTTGGATTTTTGTGCATGGCAGTACATCTTCAAATATCATTCAAAGCAATATAAAAAATAGGTACCTAAAAGGTACATGTGGCTACTGAGGCTATAAAAAGAAATACTGGTGTGGCGCTTTTCATGCCCGTTCTCATGTTACATATCTCATATTCCAGTAGTAGGCCTACAGTAGGCCTATCATAGGGCATAGTAGATTAACACTTTAATACAAAAAAACAAAAGAAATACTTTTATCTTAACACTGTATATATTGTATTTAAAACCCAAATTCTTTAGTTACACAAAAGGTAATAATATACTCTTAAGAGCCACGACGCGGCGCTTTTTTTAGCATTTAGGGTAATTAAAAACTATATAATCTGAATCCACGATTTTGTAACAAGATAGCAATAAAGGCTTTTATTTTAATTAGTTCGTTTATAACAGAAAAAACTTTTTATCACTTGCAAATTGACACCTTATTGAACTTTTAAACATTTTGCCTGCAGTCTGGATGTTTAATTTTATAAACAAAATTTTCCCAAATAGTTGTCTGTACTGAACACGATGGATCAATCAGCATACATTCTGTAATATTTTTAGCCTATTTCTTGTTGCCAAAATATATCCTTCCAAAATAATCTTCACTTGTATCTGAAATAATTGTTAAATAATGACAATAATTATAAAACATCAAAATATTATTACAGTAATTATTCATACTAGGCCCTACTAGGCCTAGGCTAGGCTATTTAGTAACACCGCCACCCAGCGGAACATAGGGCCTATGTCTAATGTAGTTTAAAATCAGTTTTAATCCTTATAACATGGAATGACCAGGGCCAAATTGAAAACTATTTGTAGCATTTAAACTCTTTAATTGTAGTATGATAACAAATTTATAAGTTTTATACAGAGATTACAAATTTAAATCACTATAAGTTATAATCCACTTCTCACTGGATGACCAACTACTATTCGAACTCGACCACGTAATCAACCCTACTTCAAGCCAATCAGAGTGTACGTAAGACAAAACATAATCCATAGAAAATCATGGATGCTAGGTGGCGCTATATTCAGCCACTCTCATTCATTGTGAGGCGGAAATTTTTGTCGCAATGTTTTTCAGTAATATTTCTCAATCAGAAGATATTTTATTAAATACGATACGACACATTTTCTTGAGGAAAAAGTGGGGATGTTTTTCAGAAATATATTTCTCACTCAGAAAATATTTTATTAAATAGGCCCCTACGACACATTTTCTTGGGAAAAAGTGGGGGGGGGGGGCAATGCCCTCCCGGCCCCCCGGTTCCTACGGCCATGTTTGATTGTGAATTAGTATCTAATTTTGCCCTTCGTGTTCCTGTCCGTATTTTAAGAAATAATTATGTTCTTTATGTTCCTTCAAGTAGAGTCAATATTTAAAAAAACGGATTTATTAGTAGATTAAGTTCCTCGTAAAACAAGTTAGTTCTGGACTATCCGTCTTTAGATTTATTTAACTCCAATCTGCACATTTTCCGTCGTAGCGTTTTAGGCGTGATTAGTTAAAATTAATTTTGTTTGTGTCTCTGTTTCCGTCGTCTCGTCTTTTGTTAACCATACTGTAAGTGGCGGATTTGTGTCCGCTGTTGTTTTGGTGAAT